CGTGACCGTGCAGGTACGGTAATGACCACTGCCACTTCAGCACCTCCACCCTGTCACTTATCTTGGCAATTTTCATAGAAACTTTTGAAGAATTCCTCAGGGTGCACTGTGCATTTTCCTTTTTAAATGAACCCTTTAGCTTTGATGATTGATTGATTGACATGAGACCGAAGTAATAGGTGAAAGACGAAGTTATTGTCAATTTCGGGAAGGTAGATGATGATGTATGGATCGACATGGAAGACGTGGATCTCGAGGATCCATTACTGCAAAAATCGCTGAGGAATAAGCATGCGACTTGATGCGATACTCAACCACTACTTGCTTTTTTGAATTATAGATCGGAGAAATAGAAGTGTAGCATTTTCTGAATCGGTTACAGCTTCGCTTTCAGCCTTCTCACTTTGAACTGTCACTGCGAAGGGTTCTAGTTGGTCTTTTGATACTGAAAGACAACGGCACTGAGAGATCATCAGACCTCTGTATAAATAATGTCATTTCGACATATATGAGATAACACGGAGGCTGTATCATAGGCAAACAAAGACAAAAGTGGGGAAACGAAGCTGAGATCATAGATGAGAAGAATTTTCAGAATTAAATGTTTATCAGGAGCTCATGAAGACATCTACTGCGATACTTGAATTCAGCGAAATGCTCTATAACGAAAACAAATACATTTTCGACTCAGAACTTGTTCTTCAGTGAGTGCATGGATAGCCTGCTGACAAGAAGTGTTGGAGACCACATCCTGAACAGGCTTCTCTCAAAACGAGTGGCCCATCAGCAGCACATGACACAATTTAGGGAGCTTTTGAAATTGGAAGTTCTTACTAAAACGATTGGCAACTGCGTAGGAGTATAATTCTTTATTATGATTTTTGATTCGAATGAAAAAAATCGTATCAACCAATACCCAGTGCAAATGTGCTTTCACCATGTCTTAATGTAGTGGAGATCGATGCAAGAATTTCTTTGAGACTTACTGCTTTTCACTAGCGAAGCATTTTTCTTAGGTAGGGTATAACCACTCTTCACTGATAAAAATTTAGTAGTGTTCCTAACACAGTTATCCTGATTTACGGAATGGTTCATCAAAAGATTCCTAAACTGGATTAGAAGGAAATTTGCATGTCATCAAAGTTAAGGAGTGCGAAAAAACTTACGTGTTATGTGACAAGTTCCACGGCTCATCATGATAAAGAGTGTTCATGGAAAGCTTCCGTACATTTCTTGAAATGCCATCCAGAAGGACAACATACACGATCCATACGAACCATATGTACTGTCCACTGCTTATGTGGAGCTAAGGAGCAGGTGATCAACACTCGATCCATACGAAACATATGTACTGTTCACTGTTGATGTTGAGTTAAGGAGCAGGTGGTCAACGCTTTCACAGGGGGGACGGAACTTACGTGCGTCCGAGGATGCGCGCGGCAAAATGCGCGGCGAAATTCGTAGCTATTTCATCGGGTTTAGCGCTTATTATTGGGTTTCGAATTTGAAGTAAAGTCGATTAATAGGATCGGCTGACCCTATGCAACTACTCTACTTCAAGTTTGTGCCCCAATAATAGGCGACAGAGCCGTCGAATCGAAATTTCGCTGCGCATTTTGCCGCGCGCATCCTCGGACGCACGTATGTGCCCATACCCCTTCCACAGCTCGTGAATCGGTGGAACGCTGGATGTTTTAGCTGTATCAGATTTTATGTAAAATTACTATATAGTAACTGATATAGTCGTTACAGTATATTAAATTATTCTTTTGGTGTAAAACGGGAGAGAGGAAGTGCAACAGCCTACTATGGTTAAGTTTAAATCAAAGCAAATCTGGATGAATAACTACTTCATGAGATTATGCTTGACACCTTATACGAAACAAGTTTCTGTTGCTACCCACCACTTCAAAAATACTGCAATAATCTCCAATTTCTGGATAAGATGCAACTGCAAGCAAAATGCGTAGCGCGCACATGCCACTGCAACCGGGGTCCGGGAACTTCTCCCCTAACACGGCGTTGCACACGCCGCACCCGCCGCCTATCGCAGGATTGCGATGGAAGATTGGAGCGCGCAATTTGTGAGGTAGGGAGTCCTTTAATTATTTGAATTGGCTGGCCGCTCTTTTCAATTTCAATGTGGTCTTGATCGTCGTTTATATAGGAGAAGTCATTTTGATTGATCAAGTCTAATAAACATGAAAACTAAGAAGAAACAGGAGAAAAAACGATAAAATCCAATGAAAAAGCAGGCCAGTCAAGGAAAAATATCGCGTCCTATCGATTGGCGGGAGTACGGTAATTGCAGTGACATTTGCCGCATGCCGCAAGGGTGTACGCCGCGATAGGGGAGAAGTTCCGTTACCCCTGCAACCGTAACACCACACGCACCTATAGGGGGACGGTCAAGTCGTGCGTCCGAGGGTGCGCGCGGCAAATTGTGCGGCGAAACCCATACCTATTCTGACGACTTTAGCGCCTATTATTTGGGCCCAATTTCGAAGTACAGTAGAAAAGTAGGATCAGCTGACCTTACTAACGGGAGCCGGTCGTTTGGCGCGATGGGCGGGGTCGCGCCGCCCATTTGAGGCGGCGCGACTCCGCCCATCGCCCCTTCAACTCATTCAGATCGCGTAATCTTCTGATCTCGTCTCCTCTATAGATGTTGGATTGGGCTTCTATCATCTATAGAGTAGAGGATAGCGGAAGATTACGCGATCTGAATGAGTTGAAGGGGCGATGGGCGGAGTCGCGCCGCCTCAAATGGGCGGCGCGACCCCGCCCATCGCGCCAAACGACATACACCCCTTACTAACCTACCTTACTTCAGATTTGGGCCCCGATGATAGGCGCCGAAGTCGCCCAAATCCGCCACGAACTTCGCCGCGCAGTTTGCCGCGCGCACCCTCGGACGCACGACTTGACAAACACCCGCACCTATATAGTCAAAGATCGTAACGTTCTACTCTTGATACCCTGAGGAAGATAAGCTTAGTTTCTCCTCACCAGGCCTCATAATATGGCTCGCACATCAACTTCACTTCAATAGTGCGATTCATACAGCATAATAGCATTTCACGTTGTTCACAAAAAAAATTAAAGAATTGGTACAGTAATCGTGAAACTTGCCAATGGTTCGACTGTACACTCGATGACATTTAGATAATACCCCTCGCTCTACACTTTTCGATTCACGAAGTCATTTTAAGCTTCACAGAATGATGATGAGTGGCTTCGTCTTCACTGTTTCCCGGCTTCAGCGGTTACATTGTTTCACGCGAACTCTTCAGAGTTGTGCTATTTTCAAGCACATTGCTCTTTTGACCGTGTTGGTAGTCAACGGAGCGATCAAAGCGACAAAAGACGTACTGAATGACTGTACGGGATCATCTCCCCAAGCACTGCTTCGCGCTAGTGGCACCGCCACGTATCGCAGAAATGCGATGAAAGATTGGGGCGCACAATTTGTGAGTTCGGGAGTCCTTTAAGTATTTGAATTTGCTGGCCGATCCCTTCAATTTCTATGCCGTCCAGGTGTGTTGCGATTCGTGCGATTCTGGGTACGCGCGACAAACTGCGCGGCGAAATCCGGTTCAATTTGGACGACTGCAACGTTTACCATTTAGGCCCAAGTTTGAAGTAAAGTAGTTTAGTAGTATTGTCCGATCCTACTAAAGTACTCTATTTCAAGTTTGTGCCCAAATGGTAGGCGCCAGAGTTGTTTGAGTCATCGCGAATTTCGCCGCGCGCACCCAGAATCGCACGAATGACTCCTCCCCATGCCGTCCTGATCCTCCAAAATATAGTTGGAGTCATTCTAAACAATCAAGCCTAATATACATAAAAACGAAAAAGAAACAGAAAAAGCAATCAAAACTAATCAAAAGAGAGAGGCAGTCAAGGAAAGATATTGTGTATTATCGATTGGGGAGAGACGTGCTGAGTACGGTAATTGAAGATCGAAGCTACGGGACAACTAAAAAAGATTTGCCGCATGCCGCAAAGCGAACGCGGGAAATCGGGGAGAGGTTATGGACGAACCTTTTCTTGCATTGAACTGGACAGCTAATTTCGCGTAGGTGTCAAAAACACTTGATGTAAAAGAGCTCATCTAAAAGTGCAAACACGTTGAGTACTCATAACACTGTATAATGTATGACGAAAAGCAATCGAGAGATGTAATGCTTTGAAAAGAATCGCATGTTTTGTCTGTTCTCATGCAGTAAGCTGTGATTCATTTTAAACATCCGACCGACATCGGCATATAAAGGGAACTAGCCAGAAATCTCTTACTAACTTATCTACTAATACTCTCTGTCCCATGAAGAGATGGCATTTCCAGCTTTTTGACCACAAATCGTCAATAAACCGAGTTTTTTGCCTTGGACGCTATCCAATGCAGACATGATAGACCTCTAGCCTCCAGAAATTTGCTATATTGTCAAAACACGTCAATCACCCTATCCGCTCAATGGGTTTTGACAGCATATCTGAGCAATTTTCACAAATTAAAGCTTTATCTTCTACTCACGCTCTATGTGACACACACGATTAGAGTAAAGCCTGTGTCTTTATCTAAAAACATTACGACTCCTTACATCTCTATCATGGGGATTCGTAGTTTCGTGGATGGTCTATGACCTGAACTCTGGACATCGTTGCCGCCCACCGCAACTTCTTCGGATTCATTATCTATCACCATCAAATAGGTATGGCACAATATGAAGTACAATTGTTGATGAAATGAGGGAATGCTTTTAAGATATGAATTTCCCAGTACCTATTTTCCTGGTCTTGAGTTAGTCGAACGCTGCATTACAGAAACACTGACCAAAAGTATGCCATATAATGTTCCCTATCACCTTAACATTAAACTGCGACATTCCGGATTTATTTGGCTTTTCTTTCCACTTTTTCAACATCTCAAACAGTTTGACATCGACTCACTATTTTCATAGTTCCAACACGAGCTAACCTAAAGACTTAAGAACTGAATAATGCTCACTATTTTTCTACTCGGTTTTCTAACTGTTCTCAAAGCGAAAGAATCCACGGTGGAAGTGCAGGGACTATTTGTGTGTCATACGCAGCATAAGTACGATCCATTGCACGTCGAGTTGATGGAACACGACGGTGAGTGCCGCAACTTCAAATTCATGCATGCACATTGAGGAATTTATGTATTCAGTGGTAGGAGACGACTTGCTTGCATGGTCGAATGTGCGCCCTCCCTACTTTTGGGATCTTCAAGGGAAAGAGGACGAGATGTTCAATATTCGACCCTTCCTCGTCATTAAGCATACGTGTAATGGTGTACGTCGCTTTTATGTATTCTTCCAGGGAATATTGCTCCAAGCAGAGCACATCGGCTTTCGCCTAAACTTACAAATAATTACCACTCTTTTATAACAGGCCTCGTTTTTCCCAAAATAGGGTTCCTCATTTCAAGCAGTCCGCGATGAAGAGTCAGTGGGGCGCAAACGATATCATACGTTCAACCTACGAGCTCTTTACTTTCGTTTGGTGATCTTAGGCGTACCGCTTCATTCGTTTAAAGTTCAGTGACAACTAGATCAGATAGTGGACATGCTGAAAAATATCGGAGTTGTCATCAAAGAGCTTTTCTCTTCATTTTGAGATTCAATATTCGCTGTAGTGCTTGCTCCTATTAGTCGCGTTTTGCAGTTGGAAAAACTTACTAGAGTCATTTATGCTGCTCGGATGGGAAACTAAATTTGTCAAGAGAATCATTTCAGATTAAGGAACGGGTTGTCGTCGAATTCGGCCGTATTAGACGGAATGTTTTTATCGACTTCGGAATACACGATCTTGAGAATCCAGATTTTCCTAAAGACATGAGGGAGATGATCAAGGAACAGATTTGAATTCTATCAGTACTGTATCATGCCACTTTTTGCAAAATAAATGTGTAATCACATTTGTGAGCCAAACGATAGGAGACTGAGTATTGGCGCAATTTTTTTCGCCTAATTGTAAGAAATTGTAAGAACATTCTGGGAAACATGTAGTCTGAATTTATGAATTGAATGAACATGTAGCAACAGAACAGAATCTCCGAGCCATATTAACCATATAAATACTTACAGCAGAAGTAAGGATGAATCTCTGAACTAGTCGGCATAGTGCCGCGCTCGCGTGCAGAAATGTTTCCTCCCCTTCTCAAAATTATGGAAGGAGCTCTGGGGTGAGAGAGATGATAATTTCGTGCAAAAAGCTGGCATGGAGTAAGAATCGAGCATCTTATTGGTTTACCCACCCCAGAGCTCCTTCCCTAACTTCAAGAAGAGAAGGAGCTCCGGGATGTGTGAGATGAATAGATGGGGTAAGAATTGAAGTGACGCAGAGCACGAAAGGGCCTGGCACCCTCCAACTACATTTTCACCGAATTTAGTCATCTCTACAACTAACACGTTCTAATGCAGTAATTACTTCGCTCAAAAGAATTCAAGCCAAACTATTGCATCCTGGTTTTCAGGGCATTTCGTCACCGAAATCAGTTCAAAATAGGCCAAAACATTCTCACTGCGCTTGGTTAGTTCTGAGCAGCGAATCGTGCCCTTTGGCCTTCTTTTCGCTTTATTTCCCTTTAGCTGCAGCCATTTCTTTCAAGGTTTCAAATCGTCTCTCCCTTAGTTTTCCCACCTCATAAGTGCAGTCGATTCTCACCCCGAGGAGAAAATAGAAGATGTTAACACGATTCCTAAAAAACCATAATCGAAAGCCAGAATTGTAATTTTTTATCGGTAACTCCGTGTTCTTGTTATGGCTGCCGGCACCACTTTATTATGGCTTGTTACTGGGAAACCTTTTCACATTCATAGATTTAACACTGTGGATAAGCTTTCAGAATCGATTTCAAATTTGTCGTCGGTGCCAACGTCAAGTCGATGTCTTCGCGAGCCACCAGAGCAATTATTTTTTTGTGAGTACCTGGAAAGGATCGCATTGAAATACAGACGTGGGGAACGCAGTTCAAGACTCACTACGAGCATATTTACCTGAAGAGTATTAATACTACATACATTGGCAGGCCTTTTTCTGTTCGCACATGTATCAGGGGAACCTGTCCGTGTGTATAGAATCAACTAGAGGCGCAGGCATTAGTTTGATAGGGTGGGTCAATTTAGGTCCAATTCTAATTACTTCGCACCTTCCTCTCCCATCCACTCACTCGCCTGCAGGGTGACCTCGCTGAATTGGTTTGCTGGTGACCTCTCTGTCAGACCACTAGGTTGACTTGTAACAATATCGAATGTATGAGTGAGAAACTACGTTACACTTAAAGCATGAGAAATAAAATAAAGCAAAACAAAAAAAATATGTTACACATGAGTTATGCAACTCAGAAAGGGGTGTATGTCGTTTGGCGCGGCCCCTCGCACCCACCTTGCCATTGGGGCGCATGGGCTCGTTAATTGCCTCTTTGGCGCCGCCCATTCGACTCGGTTTATGAGCTGGGCAACTCGTCCACCTGATCCAACCTCCTGACAATGCTAATCAGCCTACCCACTGCCCAACCAGCTGGTAGACGCCCGATCGATAACGCCGCTATGGTTAGACGCCCAACTGACCTACCTGTATCCTGTCTAGTGCTACCGCAAATTTGGCTATTTTTTCGCCTTTTTTTTTTTGCTTCTCGAAAGTTTTGAACCCAATTTCAAGTGAATACTGCTAAGTTGCAATGGAGTGGAAGTACCATGGTCGTTTTGGAGCCTGATACTTGCCACTAGTTTCCTTTCACACTTTTCTGACACCTTGCATCGCTTCCCCAGAGGTCACCTGAAAGTATTTAAACATGTAGATGAGAGCATTACAAGTCTCCTCTGTAGTGTGCTTGTCATCCGATGACCACAAAGTCTCATTTGAACCACTCTGAATTAGATCACAGGGCTTTCTCAGGCTCTGAAGGTTAGGTGCACCCGTTGCTCCTTCTTATTCCCACGGACCCCAGTATTTAGCTAGCCCACCGGATACACTGTGCCACCACTACGTTATGCAGTTTCACCCCTTCCACAACCTGCACATTCCCTCTCTGTTTCCTCGAGTACTGAGAATCCAAACCCCTTCCATTTACCCTCAAAACCCGAAACCACTGTTAGCTGTGTATAGCAAAACTCTTGGTCTCAGGCACCCTAGGTGCAGCTACAGCTACCTCAAATGTTCAGCGCAAGCAAGCGCAAACGTAGTTGGCGAAAGGTGGGCGAGCAAGAAAGGATAGCATCACGTACTAATTTAGCATATCTAATAGTGCATAGCATAATAGAGCGAAAATAGAGTAATAATAGCCCAAAAGATGTCTGGAGACGTCACTGATAAAGCTACATGGTTTTCATATAATGCGATACTCTTGACGTTATACTTTGTCTTGTCCCTACTACATACTGTTTTAAAATGTGTAGTATTATAATAACAATATTGATAATAATAATAATAACAATAATAACAATAATACTAGTAACAATAATAATAACGATAAGGTTCCCAATTCATGTAATCAGTATCAGTTCATTGAGACTGTCAGAGAGCTCACCAGCCAATCAATTGAGGGAGCTCACCCCACAGGCGAGTGGAGAGGGAGCCAATCGTGTTCAAAATAATCATACCTTGACACTTTGAAGAAAACAAGCCCATCTCCAGAGACAACAAAAAGTCATAAGGATCAGTTAAAAGCGCAAAAAATAAAAAGGATCAAGCGATTCTTGAGCGTATGTGAAACCTTCTAGAAAGGTGATGTTTTGGTGAGGGACAACAGTGCACAAAAACACACAGAGTTTGGACGAGATTGATTCTGCAACCTGGAGATCGAGAAGAGAGGACAGTCATTAAGTATGAAAAGATATTAGAAAGATGAGCTTCGGCTAAAAATTCCAATCCCTATCGATTAACGATACTAGCTTACACACGAGAGACAGGGAAATCCAATGTGTAACAACATTGAAAGAATAGACGTTCAGGCGTTTAATCAGGTGGTTTTTCTAATTTGATGAAAATTACCTGCTTCAATCTCAGGGGTCCTCAGACCTGCGTAATCCATCGCCGTTTTTAGCAATCAATTTAGGGCTCTAATGCTACTGAGAACCCTCAAAAGTGGGCTTCAGATTTGGCTCAAGAGCGCACCTATGTGAAATTGAAACTTATGCTCATGGTTCAGTACCCCCGCACAATTCCACTCGCCACAAAGTATAAGGCAACCGTAAGATTCATTCAGAGGGCCTAGCCGACTTAAAGGCACGGTTCACGATGAGAAAGGTTACTGAGTTCTTCCTCTAGGAGTACTAGCGCTCCCATGGGTGGAAAAAGGGACACTCGCGCTCCCACAATCTCGGCGCTTTGGGCACAATGGAAGACCTGTTGCTGCCGTAATTGGCTTAAACGCCCCTCGATCGATGTCACGCTAGACGAGTGTCGAGAGAATACAGATTGCGATTCTTCGTTCCAGGACCCACACACAATCAGCTGAACGCCGAGTGATGAGGCAATGTTTTCTCCCATCCTTTTTTCCTCTGTTATTTTTTTTGCTGCCGCGATCCCTTACTTAATTCTCTACTCCAGGAGGCTGGAAGAGGTGGGCTATTTTTGCTGTTTCTAGAGTTTTTTTGTTTACTTATGCTTATAAGTGAATGAATTTTTGCTTACCAGGGGTTTTTTTGTTTACTTATGCTTATAAGTGAATGAATTTTTGCTTACCATAGATTGTTGTTTGCACCAGGACCCACACGTCGCAGTGAGACGCATTGTATAGCTCGTCCGAATGCCCCACTCTTCTTCATTTTCCTGGTCTCATTCTCGTCCAGCCCCCTTTTTAACGATTTTTTGAAGCCTTTTTCACTTTGGAAGCACCGATTCACGCAGTTTCTTCACCTTCATCGCACCATTTTCGATCTTGTCTTCCATTTTTCATTATAATCTGGATAACCCAAAATTATCGTGAACTGTGCAATTGTGGATAACTCATGTGAAGAGTTTATAGATTACAAGCAGCAGGCATACTGGGTGATAATTGCCAATGTCGTCTGGAACTCCCTTCTTATACAGCAACACGGTCTTGCTAATTTTCCACGAAGGGGGTACTTTGCATTCCGACAGGTACCGCGTGAAAAGCCGGGCGAGGGTTTTGACAACGACTGGCGGAAGGCTCTTTAGAAGTTCTGCTTTGATCCTTTCGGGACAGGGTGCCGTACCATTCCTCATCGACGTGATGGCATGTCGAATTGGAAGGGAGAACTGAAGGGACGACGTACCCGTCTTGTCTAAGAGGGCAGTAGGCAGGTGGAGGTGGCTGGCGAAGAGATCCGAGTAGAAGTCGTAGACACCTTCTCTATGGCCCTTCGGGATGCCGTAACAGTTCCGTCAGGAAGACGAAGGGAAGTCATCCTGGTCTTATAATTGACGAAGCTCCGACGGGCTTTGCGAATGCTCCTCCCAGATTCGGCGGCTTCAGTCAAAACTGCTGCTCTTTTCTCTTTGAGATCTTTCTTTAACGCTCCTCTGCATAGCTGCGCAAGATCGGACCTTAGCTGACTATTGCCTGCAGCTCGCGCGAGTTCATTCATAACTCCTGGTATATGTATATACTAGGACTATTCCGAATATCATTGGCAGAATCGAGGGAAAATAGTGAGAGATCGTAAATTATCACTATGGCTCATCCCAACGCCTTGACAATAGTGTCCCTCATTTTGACGGAAACGATATTGAAGATGAGTGCAATAGGCTCTTCTCACGCATCACCTACAGTGTGAGAAGCAATTCTGCTTTGAACTTCCATTTCATAGGCGACAATGATTACGAACTCTTCTAGCTTCACGAATCGCTTCATCGCTTCATCGGTTCAATAGTGTAAGACAATATGCTTCAGAAGTGCTTCAAGAGTTGCGAACCATTCTCATCCGAAAACATACGCCCCGATATGACGAGCCGTTCCTACTTTTCTAGCCATAGAGCTTGAAACAGTCGAAGGTTTCGTAATCCTATATTTGATGTCTGGTATAAAGGGCATCCCCTTCGGATCAGAAGTGTTCAAGAGTGGGCTTTATACAGCAGTTGTTTTCTGTGGCTGATGACGGCTGCAGTTAGTCAATAGGAGTGCGGAAAAACAAGCCTTAATTGTACGTTTTACAGAATGTAAAGTTCATGCATGCGGAATGCAAACCTTCAAGCCACGCCTGCGATTTCACTGCTCTACCTGGTGCACCATTGCCACAACTACCTTTGCGACTAGACCAATATACAAGCTCGACAAAACCCATGTTACATGGAAGGAACGTTCCCAAAAGCGTTTGGATTGATAAGAAAAAACACGCGAAAGGATTTAGAGAGAAGATCAGGGACCATCCATGAACCACTACGATGATCTTCTATCGGGCACCAAATGACGATCAATGCCGCCGAAAAGTCAAACGGAAGCCTAACTGATGTTGTACCTGGCTATAGTCCTCCTTAAAAGTTGTAAGTAGCGGCTAAGACCAGCACTCTGAAGCAGACAGAGAGGCCGAAACCTCAGCTCAGCGAAGTTCTTCGAAGCTACAGTCACGTCAATGCACATGCGCAAGAGATCACGTCAATGCACATGCGCAAGAGAATGTCGAACACTGTCCAAGCCTTACTAGGTTGTTGGGATTAAGAGACTATATGTACAGCGCAATTGCTCATTCAGAAAAGATCAAGCAAAAATGCACAGTACATGTAAACTCAACTCATTCACTATCCATATCGATAGAGCTCAAGAGCATTCCTTCATAATTAGGTCAGTTGGGGTGGAAAAGTTATAAAAAGCAGCAATGCCTTTACCCAGAAAAGGATGTGGTTTTTAATTTAATAATCGAAATTCTACCTTCATCCTTCTCTAGATCTTTGAAAGCATCTCGCGGATTAGATAACGTTGTGTATCGGTAGAGAAGCACAATTTTGTCGATTTTCGCCTCCCCGGGATCTCGAACAATCTGCAAAATCACACAAAATCCGATGGATCGATTAATGTAGTCAGCATCAAATGAACCTCAGCCTACCAGAAATGCAGCTTACATTCGAACAATTCATTACCCTTCACGAATTTGAGAAACATTTGTAATTTGTTTGCGATTCATAACAATTTCGAATTCCAGCTCTTTGTACAAATCACGTTTCTGACAGATGATATTGAAGATGCACTTCAAAGGATTTCCTATGACGGAAAAAGCATTATATTTGTGAAAGGGTAATGATAATAACATTGACATATAACTTCAAAAAACTGTATAAAGGAAGGTCCCGGTTTCTCACAAGTTGGATCCCGGCTAACGTCGATCTTCCCTCCTTTTCATGACAAAATTGTAACACTCGACCAACTCGCCACTGCTTTATTGAAACTAATGATACCTTATTTGCTTATACTTATAGGGCTTGTCTTCATTCACGTGCGAGCATCAGAGTCTTCCACGATCGCCATCCACGGTAGACTTAGAATCTGGCGAAGATAACGATGTTAGGATCAACTAACGACTAAACTTGATTACGTAAAACAGCTGCGAATGCAACTAACGATCCTAACATCAAGTCAAAACAAGATGTTAGGATCGTTAGTTGCATTCGCAGCTGTTTTACGTAATCAAGGAGCACATCCCCACCTCGCAACTTAGATTGTAAAGACACTACGGGAGCCCATTCGAGTATTATTCTTGTCCAACGCCATCACCTTTTCTCATGATATGACCGGCCCACAGAAGTTTCGCATTTTCCATATATTCCACTAGATCGCGAGACATTCTGCGCAAATCGGAGCTGCAGAGTCCGGCTTGATATTGTGTGAACCGGTTGAACCTCAAAAGACATTGCTCGACCGCTCTGTGACTTATGCTCAAGGCCATTGACTTGAACGCACTGGTCACTCGAGTCTCCAACCCGAAACAAAGCGTAGGAAGAGCCGTGGAATGGAACAGATTAACGCGATGTTCCGGATCAAACAGATGGTTGACGACTTGTTTAAAAGGTCCGAAGGCCACACTTCTTTCTGCCGCCTCACCAGTTTCTCCACCAGTCGTGATGTCGTTGACCATGTTCGTGGAGCGTCCGAAATATGTGTAAGACGGGGTCTCCTGGTAGGTGTACTATCGATCCTAAAGTGATCTTCATCAGTCTAAGCATTCTTCATGAACTGTGCCTTTGTTTGGTCAACCCGCAACCCCACCTTCTCCTGCATCATCGAGTTCAGTAAAATGAGAACGATGTCATCTAACCATTGGAGGTTTGAGAAGACCGCCCATCCACACAAATGCCCTTTTCGTCCCGGTCTAGAGATTTCATAACCCCTGCAGCGCGGCTGTGAACAGCTTCGGTCGCCTTTTCTCACATCCTTAACTATGGAAACGGGGGGAGGTTGGAACAGCTTCACCGTCGCACTGCAGCGACTACTGTAGTCAGCTAGTGTTCTTATGTAGGGAGGGTTCACTCCTTGATCGACTAGTGCTGACAGGACTGCATTCGTTTCGTTACTGTCGAGGCTTTTTCATAGTCAACAAAGGTATGGGCGAGAGTCATTTGGAACTCTCCGCACACGTGGATGACTATTGCGACTGCTTTAACATTGTCTAAGCTGCTGTTTCTTGTCCGGAATCCGACTTGCCTTACAGGTTAAGCTTTCAACGTTTGCGAGTCAGAGGTATCTTAGTGAACAGCTTGTGAAGCACGCTCAACAAGCTTATTGGGCGGTAATTGCGAGGTCATCCCGGTCTCCCTTCTTGTTAAGAATGATCATTCGCAAGTTCCTCCAGTGGTGAGGGATCTTCTCTTGCTAAGGTTGGATTTCATAGGTGTTATAAGAGGCGCATGAAGTCCACGGCTGCTTGCACAAAGTAAATCACTGAGACTGTGTCATGGACTGGAGTAGTGCCCCTTTTGATGTTCGCAATCGCAACACCTGCCTCTGACCGATGGATCCGAGGTGGTGTTACGCGGTTAAAAGCATCTGTGTAACTTACTCCAACTCGAATCTCGTGGTTGTAACGGTTTCTTCACCACCTGATGATCGCGTCGGAATTTTTTCAGGCTAGTTCTGTTCAAGGTTGCCTCCAGTCGTCTCCACTCCCTGTATAGCTAAAGGTCTCGCCGCACTGCCTGTCTGCAGCTGATATTCGCTTGCAGCCTTTAAAGGTGTGCGGCGTTCTGGTCAAGCTTCAAGTTTCTTCTTGTCCTGAGAAGATCCTTCGTCGCATCTTAAATGCGAGCGTAGGTATCCACTCGCGTAAGCTTGTCCTGCTCAGCACAAGTGGGAAGACCCCGAACCAGTGCGTCGTAGTCCTTGGTCGGGTCGTCCATGGCTTACCAGCAATATCAAGGCAAAGCGTCCTTCGGAACATCTCCATCGTATATAACATGCCTCGAACTTTTTAAGATAGTGTCGACCAGCGATATTATAGAAAGTGTACATGGTAAGACTAACACAGTCGTTTCTACGATCTATTCTTTTTACTGCGTAAACTTGCAACGTGAACTCCTTAAATTGAAGGTTCTTCATAAAAGACACCTCAAAAACCAAAAATTAAATATTTTTCAGCCATTTAATTATCGGTATTAAAATACTAAGAAAGGCTAGGCAAGTCTTTGAAGCAGTGAAGTAACTCAGTCCAGCAAGTTCTTTCAAATTCCTGCTGATTTTTTTCTGAATCGAAAACATAAATGTTAGGTGTGTGCATTAATTCCCGCCGCCGTCCTCAAAGGGTCGTTGCGCGAACCATGTTAGAGGTTCACCTGTGAATCCTGCCATATTCTGTAAGATAGGGTACTGGCTACTTATTCAAGGGCAGACAGGCCAGTTTTTCCCCAGAACCCGTTGCTCCCAGACTGATTCGTCATGGAACATGATAAACCGTTATCCCGGGAGGGCCCTTCTCCTGCTGTTTGATCTCAAGGAAACTGGCATTGAAGCCCACCCGATGCTTTTTGATACTTACGGAGGACAAGTTCTGTCTGAATAAACCTGCTGAGATGGTTTCTCTTCACTCGAGAGTTTGCAAGGAAAGCGGAAAGCAAAAAGTAATGCTGTGTGTGCATTTGGTGGTGGGATCAAAGGGGTGTTGTGTACTATGAACACCAACTTGACAGCTTGTAGGATGATCTCACCTGGAAGCGGCCGTTAATCGCAAGGAAATATCATGAGGTGCTGTTCCACCACGAGCATGCCAGACCCCATGTTGCGAAGAATGTCCTTTAAAAAATTGCAGTTGCTGGATGGGATCAGATTGTTCAGCTCGCATACTCTCCGGATCTTGTTCTTTCTGATTACCACCTATTACGATCCATGCAAGTCAGTTTGGCAGATACACGCTTCCGGAATGCCGAAGAAGTGCGAAAATGGGTGGATAACTGAATTGCCTCAAAAGATGAAGACTTTTTTTGGACTTGGAATCAACAAGCTACGAGAAAGATGGCAAGAAGTTGTAGCTAACGATGGTTGATGTACATTTGGTTTTAATTTTGTAATAAATATGTTTTTGCACGGAAAAAACGGCGGAAATTAATGCACACACCTAATAAATAGTGAGATCGTTCAATGTAGAGAGACCTTTTCTAGCTTGCGACTGAATCTGATGTTAGCGCGAAAGAGTCGATGATCAGAACCACCGCAGAAAGATGTTACCACACCAACACCTGATAAGCACCACTTTCCTTCGTGAATTTCTGGTCCACTTCAGCATGAGCGTTTGGAGACTCCCATGCCTGGCAGTGGTGTTCCTGTCTCCCATACTGATGTTCTCTCATGGAAAAAGAGTTGCAATGGAAGAGTCGACCCAACTATTGGACAGAAGTCCAGCTAGACGATTTCCGTTCTCGTTCCTGTCTCCCATACCGAACGTTCGATCCTAAACTCCTTGGATTTGCCCCCAGCCTAGCGTTGGATTGTCGACCAACGAACTTGTAGGACTTTTTGATGCAGATGATTTCCTGAAGTTGGGCGTGAAACGCACGAGTTCTAATTCGCTGTAGCTGTAGAGCGTGGAGTATAGCAACTGACCACAAAGATAGTCTCCAAATGCGCATGTCGTAGACGAGGTGGTGGTAAAGCGAGGAAACAGGACCTCGTGAGAGTCGACGAGATGGACGAAAGACGGTGCACGACAGACCAAGGCCGTCGAATTTTGCGATGGAAGTTTTCTCCACGAATTCTGAAGGTTCCATCATTCTTTCATCGGTCTTCTTGCTCTTACTTTCTCGCAGCGCAATCCTATGATACTTGATGTGGCTAGTCACTCGAGCAGCACATGTAGAGCGGCATTGGTAGAAACTGTTCTCGCGTTGAAGGTGTAAAGCAGACAACAGTCTCCGCGTCGTGTACAAGGGATGTTGTCGTGGTCCGTAATCCAAGAGTCCTGCGCTACCCGAGATTTCTCCGCCTCCCTCCGGTTGCCATACCGTCCAACGTCGAAACCGGCAGGGCTCGGTGCGCGGGGTTCTGAGAGTGTTTTGTTGCTGTTTTAACAAGTTTGTTCCTGGAGTCTCTACATCATGTTAGTGACGAAAGCATGTGGCACGACTGCAGGACGGCTCCTTTTTGGTAGGCGGATATTTTACGGAGCGAGTCTGGTCTTTAATCCAGAACGCGATGATTTAACGTAATGTACCGGGCTTGCTGTGCGCAACTTAAAGTGTGAAGAACGAATTCAATCGCAAATTTGTGCAGACGGACAAGGAAGACTCGAGCAAGGGACCGTCATCCCTCCAGTTCCTCGCACATCTATTTAACCACAGCTCCGAAGGCGAAGGGGCAAGCCGGTCGAGACAAACTCACGCATGACTGCAGAACACCGGAGTTTGCATTAGAGCACATGAGAAAACGCCAAAAAATAGGAAAAAACAGAATCATTTATTGTTATATGAGTGAAAATCAATTATGCCGAACACGCCTACATGCTTCCCGATTCAATCCTCCACCGCAAAGAGGTGGTAATGATAATTTTCTGTTCACGAATTTTGATACACGACCAAAAGTCCAGAGCATATTCAATATGTGCTGATGCTTCACCTACGATTCGAGATCTCGATCTGTCGCACTTCATCCTAAAAATAATCACCCATCAGGAATCCACCTGTCAGGCACGCAAAGCCTGGGATGTACTCACAAACGTTGTCGAGTGATCAAAACGTGTGATATCGATGGTCCTTCTTTTCCTACGGAGATATATTAGTTGAACATCCCAGATTATTTGCGATCGAATGAGTTTTTTGCGATTGATATCGAAAAAGAGAAACCGCGACCCTTCATTGTGTCACAAATTTGCTCAGAAGCGGACTTAATCTAACAACAAGAAGTGAGCCGAATTTTCATCTGCTCATAATGAAATGCTTTCGATCGGCCTCTATCACCTTATTCAGCACTTATTTTTGTTCCTGCACTACCATCACGTCTTTTCGAATAAAACATGCTAAAGTGTCAAACTTATTTAGCATATACAGAAGGCATTAGGAATTTTCATGGTAGGTGGCTCTCTTATCAATTGTAATCTGTTCCTCTCATTGGCCGTCTGCGATCCCACATTACTCTATGTTGGATCCCTAGCTTTGACCTTGAATTGACCTCGCTTTGCAGATCAAGTGCCCTGTAGGTGATTACCCTGTAGATGAAGGCTTCAGATCAGAGTATGGCTACTGATCGTACCGCTCTTTTGGACCGTATATAAGGCACTACTTGTGCAATTATTCATTCTACGACTCGTTCCAATAAAAGACTTTCTGGACGCTGTTTGACGACACGACACAGGCGATCAGGACTGCAAGTACTCAAAAAGATGAGCGCCCTTCCTCTTGTACTTCAAGGCGTGCAGAAGCAACTGGACCTTCAAGGAGCCGCTATAATGCGAACCATGGAGACGATGACCATACCACTTGTTTGCACCGTTCCTCTCGTCATAAAGGACACATACGCAATTTTTTGACTCGCTCCACCGTTGAGTGAAGAAGTTCACCTACGATCCAGACCGAGGCCGCACCTTCGCCTATGGCTTAGAAGATAGCACGATTCGTGCGACAACGAATGCGACGAATTCGAAGAGAAGGACAAAACCAGACTACTCGTTTTACGCTTGGGCGAGGACTGCCATAAAATTCTGACTGCAAATATTTCTTCTGAGCAACCGTCTAAACTCTCATGAAACGAAATTCTAGAAGTGCTGAAACGTCAACTCGGATCTGCGAAAACCTTGTTCCGCCGTCCATTCGAGTGTTTCAAGCTGAGGTTTGAAGGTCAGGAGCTCAATAAGTACGAGAACCTCGTGAAGACGAAGTGCACGGATGATAAATTGAACCTCATCAACTTCAACGGCCTTCAACTCCAAGGACCTGAGTTCGCTGACTACCATACACATCTGTTGAGAGCTGGACCAGCCTGAGATGGTTACGCTCAAAAGACCTAATGGCAGAGTATCAGCTAATCAAGTCCTACAAAGTGTACTCACGAGTGCTCGAAGGCGTTCCATCAATCAAATTCATTTGTCCCAATAAGCGGTTCCGGAGCAAGAGGAAACCCAAGTAACTTCAACAGCAGAAAAAGTAGCACAAAGTCTCACAACAAGAACTGAAGCCACGAGGTGGACCGACCACCAACCGTCGCCGACGTCGTAATATCAACAATGTCGTAGATCTCTCAAGAGAGATGACCAAGAGGCCTTTGGGGTTGTACTCGTAAATGGTCATGTCTAGACACTGACTCAGGAATCATCATAATGTCGAAATCTATATGGAAGCTTCTCTGGAAGAGTTTCTCACTTTCAGAGCCCTGATTTCACCGGATAGCCAATGAAACTCCAATCAAAAATCGAGGATACTTCAAGACAGGCTTTACCATTACCAACTCATCTATAGGACATTTCAGTAGTCGTGAAACTTGCTTCGTAACTGATGACGACTGCAACGTCTTCATCGGAATATCGTCGTGGATAAGTCTCTGCCCCTCTTTTGCCAACCGCCAAATTGAAGACAATGTTTGCGAACATCTTAAAACCGGGTCTTGGATGCTGCACGATCACTAAGGCAACACTGAAGATGATTGTGAAAACAGACGCTCTACCAGTATTCAGGAAGAAACGTCCCGTACCTCAGGCCAACGTCGCGGTCTTAGACAAGGAGATCGATCGACTATTGGCAGAAGACGTTCGTCGCCTGTCGCCTACTCGAAGTGGCCTGCACTCATCGTCACCGTAAAGAAGGCGAGCAAAACTCTGCGCATGTGCGCTGACTATTCTACAGATCTCAGCGACGCCCTGATGCTACGCCAGCACCCGCTGTCCATATCAGACGATGTGTTCATGAAACTGAATGGCGGGACTATACTTACGCAGAACTGATTCCGCTGACGTCTATCTGCAAGCGGAAGTCGACGAAGCTTCGAAAGCGATCAGCACCTATAGAGGGCTGTGTTGCTCTAGTCGCCTACTTTTGGGAGTGGAATCTGTTTCCGGAGTATTTCAACAAATCATGGATTCAATGACTGTCGGACTAGACGGATGCGCCGCATTCCTAGACGATGCTATCGCCACAGGACACACATGAGGAGCATGCCGCTAGCTGAGAGGCTTCTTTCTAGAGGATCAATCAGTTCGGCTTTCGCGTTCCCGTGGAAAAGTATAGATTCCTTATGCCTCGAATTAGTTATTTGAGTAACATCATCGATGCAGGCGGACGTCGTCCAGATCCTGGCAAGATAGAGGTCTAGAAGATGTCACCTTTTCAGGACCTTCAACATGTACGATCGTTCCTGGGACTTCTCAACTACTAGGCGCCTTTGTCGAAGAAATGCACGGGTTTCGCGGACCAACGGATGAATCACTGAAAAAGGATGCGCAATCCAACTAGTCCCCCGACTGTCAGCGGGTCTTCAATCGCGCCAAGGAAATTCTTTTGCCAGACTTATTGCTCACCCATTGTATCCCCCAAAGGAGTTCATGATGGGTGAGAATTCATTTGTAGGAGAAGGTATTGAAGAGGCCAGAAAAGCCCTACCTGTAACCTCTGCGAACCTCCTGGCTCCAACAGGCAGTACACAGGCGAAACGCGGAATATCTCGTTGTTGCTACATTTGATCTTAATGGCCATCCTGAAAATTGCGAGGCACCTCATCTTCATTGACTGATTGACTTCAATGCACCTTATGCCATTCACTTCATCAGCTCATGTAATAAGGACTACGAGAACAGTTTCAATACACCGTCAGTCTCAAATTTTGTTTTAGTGAGGTGAGTAAGGAATGAAAGGTATTCAAAAGGCATGTGAGCGGCTAGTCATTTAACAACTATTGAGGAGGTTGAGGCCCATTGCGTTGCGTTTATCACATAAATGATGCCATTTTTTCAAGTAATTCTTCCTTCGTAGCTTCTATGGTTTCAAACCACGCCGTAAATTATATAAAACACGTCTCAATGAGCTACAAAGAAGAATACTATGCTTTGAAAGCAGAAGTCGTTTAGATTAGACTTCCGGCTCAAGAAACGGGAGACTAATGCTGCGCAAATTAGGCAAATCGGCAACTGAGTCAACTTCTTTTTCTTTTTTTCCATTAGGAAGACCAACCACTGGTGAACCGCTTTCCAGACTTACCGCTCGCAGCGAACCCTGACTTTCTCTTTTTCTCAGAATTAGTATCTTTGCTAGAGTCTGGAAGCTCCCGCTGATCCTTGGCAACCAACTTCAGCAGTTGTTGCGTTTTCTATCGCAGAGACGTCAAAAATCCTCAGAACGTTGAAAGGATGTCACAAATCAAGACAGAAATATGAAATGATAGCATTGATCACTTTGGAAAGATATTTGTTACCAAGGTCTTCCCTCTTGTCGACTGAGGATCCGATATCGTGAATCTGGAGTTTAACCTGAATCACGTTAAAAAGGCGAAGCATATTTTGTAGAACAGTGAAAAAGCTTCCGAACGATTAGTTGAGCGCTACCAAAATTCAGAAGGCAGATAAAGAAGTATGGTAGCGTAGAAGGCTTGACCTGAACTCAGAAATAAAAAGCTGTAAGGAAAAAACTGTCGTAATCTTACGCTAACTTCCATTGGGATACGGAACATACGTGTGTCCGAGGATGCGCGCGGCTAATTGCGCAGCGAAGTTTGTGGGATTTGAATGAATTTACTGCCTATCATGGACCCAAATTTCAGGTAAACCAGACTAGTAGCTAGAGTAGCTAGTAGATCAGCTGATGGTCAGCTTCCTTTGGGTAGCTTAACCGCGGTGAGGTCACTGACTCCGGGAAAATCTAGTTAGAGTAGCCACCGCTCCTATCTAACACTGAGTTTTAGAATGCAAGGAAGGAAGGTTACGATCTTTCTTTTAAAAAAAGCACAAAATCGAAATTTCCGTTGTATAGGGTTCAGTACAAGGGCAATTAGGAGGAGAATCGTGAGATCCTTCAGCTCCGTCAGAAGATAATTGAAGACGACAGAGCGTGGACAGGATGCCCGCGCAAGCTAACCGCGAACGACGACAAGAGAAAGCTAAGAACTATTTCGGACAAAACCTCGTCGTTGAATGAAGTGCGATCAGAGTTCGGTATCTTGGTGTCCAAAACTACTGAATTGAGAGCTATGAAAAGGAGCAGCAGCATCATCAGGGCAGCAATGGAAGGGGCTCCGAGGCTTACTGACCACCGCAGGAAGGCACAGCTTGAATTTTCGAGATTGAATTTGGGTTAAGATTGGAAGAAAGTCAGCCTGTATTACGGACTAGCCATACGGTCCAATAATTTCATTTAGGTCAGATTTTTCGATGAAAAGAAAGTTAATTTGGAAGGCCCCGATGGTTACAACTACTGGGCATCTGGTTGTGAAACGCCTCAGTGGTTTGGTCCATTTCCTTTGCTGACCTCTATCCACCTTTTTCCCGGTCTCCAGGACATCTTGGGATTAACTTATAAATTTTTGTCACAAACTCCGCTCACTTTGGCGCAAGCATCGCCCGCCCGTAGTCGTTGACCACTCCGCCGTTGCCCAACCCTAAGCACTTTTTTCCCGATCCCTAGGGCTCTGCGGAACCAAGTTATGAATTTTCGTAGCAAGCAATTTTCCGCCCACATTCGTGCCGTCTGGTTAGCGCCCACACATAGTTGTTGACCTCCCTGCCGCTGCAGGTCTCTGACCATTTTTTTTTNTTTTTTTTTCGAGTGAAATGGGCAATGTGTGGAGAATGAGTCATGCGGTCAACGCATACAATAATGAAATGACTGTGGAATGCCCAGCTCAAGGTCTGTGGTACAGGCTGTATAGCTTCGCCAATACAGCTATTTTGAGGCCGGCGGGTGATCGGCCACTCGAAATCCACTCTCTATGAAACCATCTTTATCAATTACTATGTGCAAGGAACTAACTTCTGTCTGTCTATCTGTCCCGTAATTCGGTATTATGAAAGGTCTGTTTAGCTTAGGATGCTAGGAGCCTCGGACAAATTCATAAACTTGCTCCAAAAAGACTAGACATCTCAAAAAATGGGCAAAGGTGAGAACTAGGTCAGCAATCCAGACGAAGGAGACTCGTTTGCAGTGAGCTAGGCGTTCCCGAAGATTATCCATGAACTCATGACCCATAACGCTGAGCGAAGCTATGAATTTTTAGTCTCAGTTTAGTCCCTCTTCAGTGCAGGCCCCGTTCACCAAAGTTCTGGTCACATTCCTTCTATTACCTCCGGCCACCTTTTCCCGGCGTTCTAGAAAGTTTCTGGACTGAGTTATAAATTTTTAACCTCAGCTACACCCCTCAGTGCACACACCTCCCACTTCAGAGATTTGGCCGACTTCTTTTGTTACATCCAACCACTTTTCTCCGCTTTCAAAAACGTTCTGGACAGAATTGACCCGTTTTTGAAATGTAGCTCCAATGTAGCTTGAATGCATGCTGCGCCCTTCGTTGACGGAGCTTCGCCAACTTTATTCATGCCCAGCAAGCACAGGGTCTTGCTCACTCCTTTTATTTTTTCTGGCCTCGTTTTCGCTGAATCGAGTAATGAACTTATGTGGAAAGTAACGCCCACTGCAAGAACGTTCCGCCCACAGGCGGACAGCTTCTTTAAGTTCACTTGTTCATCCATCCCTCCCTCTGCTCATTTTTTCCGGCGTTTATGCAGGTATGGGACTTTATCCGGATGTTTTGCCAAAGACACCGCCAACTCTTGTGAATGTGCCTCCCCCTATGTGCAGTTCCGTTGAGCTCACACTTGTTGGCCTTGTCTTATGCCCAACCCATCCACTTTTGACCCGACTTCGGCACTTGCTACTTCAGGTTATATCGAACTCCGTACGAAACAGACAGACGCGAGCGTGTTATATATAGTAAGGATAATTATACGATGATATCTTGATTCTGCTATTATCTTACGAACTCTATAAGTTTTTGGAACGGCCATTTATGTACGAAGCAAATTCCGTACAGGAGGGCTACTCAGAAATTCGGCCACATTTCTCCTATTACCTCAAACTACTTTTTCTCCGTATTCAGTTATGATTGTACTGGGTACAAAATATGTCGAAGGCTTGAGTGAGATTCTCGGTGTTTTCATTTCCCCCAATATTTTTTTCAAATGGCTTTCCTCAACTGAATCCTGCGAATTTACCCCNCCCCATTACATTGCCCACCTAAATCGCACACACTTTGTCAACAGTTGAGCGCATGTAGAGTTTTGACCATTATACAACAAGGGATATACATGGAACTGTGAAATTTATTATGATATGATAACTGCGATGACATTATAAAACTTCTTGTTTTGCTTATAATATAATCGGAGTTTGGAAAGGAACTTCGGAGGCAATGCAAGATCTTCTCCACGATTCCGTTCCTGTCCTAGAAAGTTATCATACACTTCAAACAAATTTCTAGCTGTATGTCCCGTTTACCAACTGATTAATTTGTACACACTCCTGTAGCTTTTCAGTACATGTTTCGAACTACTGCACGTTTCACAGCTCCGGGCTGAGCAGACTTTGAGTGGAGTAAGATGTTTTTCGAGCTGCCCTTCCGATACCATTTCACGTTATACCTTCCACTTGAGTAGATAGGTAGTGTAGATGTACTGTCGCTACATCGATGACTGCTGCGTAACTACATCAACGCAGCATGGATGGATGAATTGCTTAAAATCCTCAACCCACAGTCGAAGTATATCAAGTTCACGAGAGAGGTTGCGCACGAAGGCTGGCTTCCTTATCTCAACACGCAGATAAACATCTGGAGTGGAAGGTATAACGTGAAATGTTATCTGAAGGGCAGCTCGAAAAACATCTACTCCACTCAAAGTCTCCTCACCCCAAAGCTGTGAAACGTGCAGTAGTTCGAAACATGTACAGAACAGCTACAGGAGTGTGTACAGGTGAAGTAGAACGGGAAGAGTCACGTAAGCTAGCATGTGGGATTGCAAACCTGAATGGCTATGGGACAAAGCATAGAAAGTCAGGCTCAAAAGGGTACTCGCTGAGAAACCATGAGAATATGGTGCATCTCCGACTTCCGTTTATATCAGACAAAGTCAGCGCAGAAATACGGCAGAGCATTGCACGAGCGGATCTGGCTAATGATGTTGTCTTGATAAACGTACCAACGGACAATATCAAACGTCTTCTGTTCCGCAACAGACTCTATGATTGTGCATGCGCAACAGATAACAGCGTTATTTGTCCGTTCGGAAGGAATGGAGATTGCACACAGCGAGGGACGGTATACCAACTTCAGTGTTCGGCCTGTGACGAAGTATGCATTGGTGAGACGGGAAGGATGCAGGGCATATGCGTCAAAGAACACCTAGCAGGTAAAAGACGAGGGAACCTAATCACGCCACTTGGTGGGCATCGACTAGAAGAGCATCAGGGCAAAGACGTTGATATAGAATGCAAAATCGTAGACTACGAGAACGAGATCGGTGCTAAAGATATTGGAAGCGTTTAACATGCGCGAGAGAAATCCTGAGCTGAACAACCGAAATGAAACCGAAATGAGTGCATGCCATAACAAGTGAACTTCTGCCATCCATTCCCTTTTGTGGGATCTGAGATCACCACGCAATTCTTATCTCCCGACCGTAAAGTGTCTCATTGTTCCCTTGCTGTCCAGGAAATAGAGTGGCACGACAATGCTGATGGAAACGCAGGAGGTAGGTTCCTTGGCAAGGATGTTTCGGTGTTTAAGTTTCTGGGAGTAGTTGCAACTGGCCTAGTGCGTTTGGGCGCTTGGTCAGGTAAGCCACAGGCCAAGAGCTCCGAAATACTTTCAGGTCCTTGAAGACGACGAGTTAGTCGAAACGTCGACCTAATAAACGGTTCCATCATAACAAGCCTGTACGGCAAAGCATTGTGAAATATAATGTGACATGCCCAGGTTTCAAGAAGACCGAACGTGGAAGATACAATCCACACCCATCAATACGCAGACAAGAGGAAGAACTCAAAGTGCGTCCAAATCTAACCATGTTGAGCCTAATGGTATCCCCAATGAACAGCTCACAAAAGCTTATTTGTTACTGAATGAAACCGGACAGCTCCCGGGCTGAATGAGTTCGCTATTCCTTTACAGTATAGGTTTAGGCCGCACAAGGAGATAGTGATACAGCATGCTCATGACAAGTAATGTAAATCTCAAGAGAAAAACTTGTAAATGATTCCCTTACTCAGCGTTAAACTTTGCAGTGGTCGCTAAAGATCTGTTTCAGAAGCAAGGTGATAGTAGAGTGAAACCGGCGATCTTGCCATTGTGGTGGACAGAGAAGTGTTTCAGCGAAACAGCAACGTAGCAGGCCACTGCAACAAACACCCTTTTCCAATAAACACTGCGATCGTTGCTTCATCACAATCAGCTAGCCGAGCTAATCTGCCGTTCTTCAAACCAGTGCAAACTCCGGGAGTGCCAATGTACCCATACTCCTTTTTCAGAGGTAAGGTGCACCACTCTGTAGTGTAGCTGAATGGAATTCGTATGTTTAAAGCATAGCTTGAGATCATCGAACATTATAGGGAACATTGTAAAAAACGGTGTTACTTTGTATCAACCTAATATGTACAAGAGCCATTTCCAGGTCTCAATTATTATTGACCAGGGGCTGGTACAAATGGTTTTTGATCTTGTTTCTCCTTGTTTACAGCCCTTCGAGGGGCTGACCGACCTTCTGCCGCCCTCCTCCCCCCCCCCCCCCCCCCCCCCCCCCCCCCTAGCACTGCTGCCTCGTGGCACGCCGGCCGGCCGGTCGGCGGACTATGAAAGCAGCCAAAGTGAGAGCTAAGCTTTTCATATCATTGCCTTTATCGTAATCATAAAGCTTGCGGACGGACACACCGACAGACATACCGACAAACCGACACACCAAGTTTCTGCTTTATAAAAAGAGAGATTATTTTGTACCATAGTACTTTGCACTACTTGTGCACCTTATATACTTACCGTTGACTGCTTCCATTCACCATCATATGTCTTGATGCCCCACCTTTTGCAGCCGAGAAATAACAAACACGCGGAGTGAGAAAAAGTGAGTGGTCTTCCGAGTCATATAGCATTCACTTCGATTAAAAGCAAATGCGCAGTCGACCTGTAAATGGTGTTCTGTTCTTTGTCAATTAAAGTTTGTCAAGACACTTTTCGAAAGAAAGCTATTTCACAGTTAGAGAAGGTGCCTCTGTCATTAACAGAGCATCGCAATGCTTTGAGGCTATCTAGAAACTCGACTGGCTCTGAAAAACTCGAAGATAAATAGCATCTCCCAGCTATGCGCTAGTTGAGGAGGAGACGATTCATTTTTTTTCAGATGCAGTGCCATGAATGAGTTGATCTAGATCTAAACGATCTAGCTAACATAGTGCGTGTTGAGTGAGGTCAGCGCTGTTACGGTCCAGAAGCAGAAACTGATGACAATTCCGACAACTGTACAGCAGCATAAGGTATGGTCCATGAAAATTCTCGGCTACATGAGATTACCACTTTCACGATTCGCATATAAGATTGTATGATTTGAGTCTGAGTACATCATGAGTACATCATCATGAAAAACAACAGGAACATAAAAATTGCAGATCTGAAGAATGGTATGATCTTTAAATGGAATTTCTAAAAGCCTCAGGTGGCAGATTGAAATCAAAGGCTATTGGCTTCTTCAAAAGTCTCAAGAACCAAGCCATTCACCAGCGGCTTAATTTTCTGAATATACCAGGCTATTAGCATGATATATAGGTGAGCTGCATATCACATTGTCATTCCCTACAAGTTTGAGGTATTTGTACAGCAGGTGAAATGGAGTATAGGGTTGCTACCCAGCCCCTTTCTTGTACTAGGAGGGGACCCACTCAGGTGCATAAGAATACTGCTCAACGGTACTTTTATAAAAAGGTGTGCGAAATCAAAATATTCATATTTCTGTTGAGCTCTCAATATCTCTCACGAAAGAAAGTGAGTTTGAGTTTCGGTATTGTTAATCGAACAAACCATTGAATGTGAATGTGTAATTATAAACTGCTCTTCCAACAAAGTATAATCCTCAAAAATTGTGATAATATCACTGAAGTCCCATTATAAAGTAGGAAACACGGTGCCCTTCATGAAGATATAATAAAAACATACAGTGCCACCAGCCGCGTGAAAACGCCGGACACTGCAGTTGGAACGAAAAGCAGAAAATGATCACGATCGATTGACGGCATGGAAAAGGTTTAAATGCTGCACCGACATCGTGAAAGCACTGAAGTGCCTGAGCTGGGAATGAATGAAAACAGCTGTACATATATTTTTTAGGCTAGCATATCTCGTAGGGAAAGATGAGACGACAAGACCAGACATTCAGTCGCATTCGTCATTTCCTCTACGTCAGTGTCCTTAGAAATGAACAAGTTTAGTTGTTTTCCAAAGTGTGTGACAATCGCTGTCAGTCAACAAGCGTTTAACTATCCTCTAGTGGCGCGCTTGTGTCGCCTCGAGCTGAATGTCCCACCGGGACATAAGAGACTTGTCATTTTTGCACTATCCGCTCGGACATCTCATGGAATTGTCATAAGATTCTTTAAATTACTAGATTCAATATCTTTACACTGCGACTACATGAAAGTAATCTCAGATATCCACGAAGACACTTGTGAGCTTAATGTCGGCCTATAATATTCAGCGGCGATAACACGCTTCCCTCCTCTTGCGACAAGCTTCGGCAGTTTGAGCTCAATGTAGGCCCGTAGTTTCTCAAATTCCGTTAGTGAGTCACTCCATCTCGTTGCAGGACGGCCTAGTGCGCGTTTAACCTCACGTGGATACCAGAAAACGCGAGTGGTCCACCGGTCGTCCGTGCGTCTGACCATGTGTCCCGCCCATCGTTTCTTTGCTTTGGAGTCGCGAATGCCAGATATTGAGTGCATGTCTGCGCTGCCTAAGTTGCGAATTTTCTGCACTCTGTGGTTAACGTTCGGCAGGGTCTGCTCCAGCGCTCTTCGTGTGCGAGTCAACATCAGCGTTGACGTCCTGTTCCCACTCATGTCTCGAATGCGTAGTACAGTGCGGGCGATACCGTAGAGTCAAATAGTTCAGCTCGTATCTTCTTGTTCGATGCGAGTTGAACCGCCCCTATGAAGCTTCCCATTACCGTCCTCGCACATCTTCTACGCTACATTCACTTCACGTGAATTGCTTTCATAGAGATGAGTCGGCGGAGGTGCCTACAGGATTCGCTGAGCGGTATCGCGGTACCTTTGAGTGTAATGGGGACGCTTCCCCCCATTCGTCTCGCATGACCATTGTCTTGCTCCTGTTCATCAGGAGGCCAATGGCTTCGCTGACGTCATTCAACACCTCCTCCATCTACTGCGGCTTCTCTCGGTTTTGGCTGATGAGGACGATATCGTCTGTGACGTGCAAGTTGGATAACTTCTCCTCGTCGATGTTCATGTCTCTATCACCCCAGTTCAGTTGCAGCGTCGCGTTGTTAAGTTCGTCATAGATCGACGCTTGCATGGTTTGATGCGTACCAGACAGAGTTGAGTTCCACACTGTCGAATGACTACGCTAGTCGATAAAGAAGAGTGGTTGTTTGCCCTTCTTGTTCTGACATGTGCTCCGGCCCGGGTGTCTTTCCCGGCTCCATCTGATGCAAAGCGAGTTCTACCTCTAACTCTTCTATCCGAAGCCAACTCTCGTGTTGGGTGAAATACGAAACAGGTATCGTCGAACGGAAGAGGTCGGAGTAGTAGGCGACGGCAATCTTCTCGATTTCGATGTCTGCGGTCTGCCCATGCGGCCTTCATGACCGCGATGATCGAGCGAAAGTCATTATTGTGTTAACGAAATCTTACGACGAGTCCTGTGCTCCTGACACGTGTACTGAGGAGCGGCCTACACCATGGTGTTTGTGTCATACGTGGTAGTCGTATGGGAGGAGGTCGGTAGTCGTCTCGTCTTTGAAGCTGCGCTCGCAGGCAGATTTTGGCTCTGACGAACCTAAGCTCGCTTCCGGTACTGAATGCATCTACCACACTGGTGCCTAGCGAGCTCGGTCTCCTATTAGTGGGAACGTCGTTGATCTCACTTCGAGTCGCTGCGTCGGGGCTCTCCCATATTCAACGCCAGCCCTCGGTTTCCGCTAAGAGGCTGTTCTCGAGAAGAGGTTGCATCGTTTCAGAAAGGTCATCAAAAGATCTCCGTTTGCGCTCGGTTCTCCGATTCCATGTGGTCAAATGCGCGTTGTCGCCCGGTTTTTACTAGTTGATGACTTGTTGTAGTCTCCAACGACATATTTGTAGGATGAACGCTCGCTTTCTGTCACCTCCTCTTATCCCATATAAAAGGTGACCTTTTCTCCGTCGGTTGCTGTTGACGTTGGAGCATAACAGAAAATAATGCTAGTAGTGATGCTCTTGTCGATGCATAGACGAAGAATGGCTAGTGGCTGGCCGAAAACCTCGGTTATGTAACGACCTTATATTCAATCTTTTGATGTACTAGGAATCCGATGCCGCCAAGGTTTATTTCATATATTATCGGTCTTGGAGGAGTAGATGGCCAACTTCGATTTTCTTAGCTGAATATTTTTTTGGTTTTCGACTCTAAGAGGGCGATGTTTTGTTGGTTTTGGTTTTCGTCTCTTGAAGAGCACTGACGTCAATCCAAGCTTCCTACTGACCTCATCCGAATGGTTTTTTCGGGTGAGACGACGGTGCGACAACTGTGGGTGCAAATTAGTAAACAGTCTCTATGTCTCGAAGGCATTTCGGTCTGTGCACTTCAAATCCTGCGGCGATTATTGTCTACAGGCCCCTTTGAGTCGCCGTTTGCTCCTGTGTACTTAAAGCACGTGCTCCCATCTGCGCCGCTCCGAACCATCTCCTTCCCCGTTCGGAATCTCAGGTAACTAGCCCATCGAAGAGGTGATCACCTCTACTGCTAGCAGGCATATCTCCAGTTTCCTGTTTCGACCCCTAGAAACAGGAAACAGGTGGGGGGGGGGGGGGGAGTAAGAGTAAGTATGAATGGTGAAATATGCTCTTCAGAAGAGCACTGTCTCCGAGTTCCATGGAACCGCACTGGATTCATTAAAAGGAAATTTGGTGAGAAAGCGGTACGAAAAGGGATATCCCATATCTCATTCTCTTAACAAAACGTGTGTGTGTGTTAAGACGCCGAAAAGGTTGTGATGAGTCAACATCAAACAAAAACTGAAATAACAAAGGGTGACAGCTATTCGAACGGAATAGACAGAATCCGGAAAATTGTCGAGCAGTGAATTGTGTGCGTAAGAGACCCCGATTTATTCGACGAGTTTTAAGCCGTTCTAAGAAATTTCAAAATAGAACAAAGAGGGTTAGAATGTACTAGTCAACACATTCTTTAGTGCAGAGATTTGGAACGGAGTGTAGGTAAAGGGGTGGTGCTCTATGAATAGTTAATGCATGCGGTTGTCCGCGTAAAAACGCCGAAAACCAATGAATGCCATTCCAAGAGGCATTCATTGGCGCTATCTTGCATTATTTTATGGCAGGTCAGAAGAGAAGAGACATTATTTCAAGTACCGCAATCGAATATCCTCACTATATATGTATAGTCCTCGAAGATATTACACTCGGGTCTATCTGTCTGCCACGAGATCCGATGTTACCCGAAGAAGCATTTGGAGAGGTCTGATCAAGATCGTAGTGGATTGGGCATAGGGCAAGAACAACAAAGCACATGTGAGCTCGGCGGAGCGGAGCTCCGCCCACGGGGGACGAGGCATGTGGGCAATAGGGCGGTGCCAAAGGCAAGGCTTCTCGACATGGTTTCATAAAACCCCAGTTGCCAGGGAAAAATGAGTCAAGCTGAGGAACTGGTCAACAAATAAAATGAAGGATGCCCACCTGCGTCTTCACAGCGGGTGACATTTTCTACGTAAGTTCATAACGTGATTCAGAAAAAACCTGGACGTCAGAAAAAAGTAGTAAAACTGGGCAAGACAATATGGGCATGGTATCTGAGAACTTAGCGGAGCTCCGCCTTCGATGGGCGGGCGAGTTTGCATTCACATGTGAGGTAGTTTTCAAAAAAATTATAGCTAACTTTAACTTTTCTCGGAAACGAATTCTAGGTGGAAAAAAGTTGTTGAAGGCCATCGAATAAATGTGTTCAAATACTAAAAAAGAGCGGGCTTGAACTGGTGGGCGGAACTAAGATTAAGGGTTCACAACTCTGTTTGAAGCGATCTAGAACGCAGGAAAAAAGTGAGAAAGCTTACAGGCGGCTTGTGATCAAATCTCTAAAGTGGGCGGTATCTGCACTGTGGTGGTGGAGGTAGGGTTGAAAATTCATCTCTCGAAAATCTTTCTAGATGATAGGGAAAATGTGGTTAAAGGTTACGAAGGGGACGTGGTCAAAACCCAAGTGTGAGCGGGCTCTGCGCTGAGGTTGGCGGTGCTATGATCAAAAATTCACACCTCTGCTCAAAAATGTTCTAGAACTAAAAAAAGTGCATAGAGACTGTCAAAGGTAAAGTGGACGGGGCTTGCATGAGATGGGGAGGGTCCAGACCACAAATTCAAAACGCTGTCTAAAGATTGAAAATATTCTCGTGGCGTGCGAGCTTGTTAGGTAGAACAATTTATTAATTCAACGGTTTGATGTTTCGGCGCTCTCGTCTTCCCCAGAAGCCTAAAGCAACTCGAGATGATTTGCACAGTATCCAAAAAGCGCATCACCCCCTTTGGCGAGTGTGACGACAAGTTCAAACCCACTATAGAAATCTTAACTCACCACGGTTCCACGCTCAAGCGTCGAGATCCGCTGTCGCCACAGGCGGCTGTCAGTAGCGAACGAGAATTCTTGTGCTGTCTTCCTCATACTTGGGATAAGGAAGATCACGCCATAATGCTAGTGAGCCATAAGTTGCAGTGCGGTATGTACGGCAAAACAATGGTGGTTGTAGACGGACACTCATATCTGCCGTTCATTTTTGGATTTCTATGATAAATACAGAACGCCCCTAATGCCTTTCTCGCTGAAATCTCCGTCTCCTGCGCTACTATCGCACACATTTTACTTCAAAGCTGTTGCTGTTCCTCAACTTTATGCCCATCAAGCGCTGTCGTCAGGCTGCCACGCCTCATACTGGGTGGGTGCTCTTTTATTCGTGTAGCTAGTTGTCTTCCTGTTTCTCCGATGTATATTGACCCATGTCCGGCATTCCGTTTGGTAGATCTTTCTCCGTGCATAGCGCACTGCGACTTATGACTCAGTACCATTATGGCGAGATCTTCCTTATCACATGTAAAAGGGAGAGAGCACAAGAAGTCTCATCCGCTACTGACAGTCGCCTGTCGCGACAACGGATTTTATATCCGCTCGAGCGGTGGAACCCTGGTGAGTTAAGATTCAATTATGAGTTTGAACTTGTCGTAACATTCACCTAAGGGGATGATGCGCTTTCTTGATACTGTGCAAATCATCTCGAGTTGCTCCAGACCTCTGAAGAAGGCGATAGCGTCGAAACATTAGGCCGTTGAGTTATTATTGTTCCGCCTAACAAGCTCGCACGGTACAAGAACATTTTTAATCATAAATAACTATGCCGAGGTTGAAGCAAGAGAGAAGTTGGAGCCCGTCCAAAGACATTCCTAAGTTCCGAAGCTACAGGGTGCGGGAAAAGTTCTGGCAAAGGCCGTTTCAGGTTCTCTATAAAAAATGAGGCCTTTGACCTCGACAGGATCTGTGCCATTAATTACTGCAAGTCCTCTTCTATACATTCCATGAATGGGCCGTTCTTGAATATACTATCTTACACAATGTTGACAAGCAAAGACCAACGAGCCTACACCCTGCACCTCCATCTGGCTGGATGCACGGCAAAGACCATCTTCAAACAGCTCCAGATTCCCTTAAGAACCGTGTACAACAACGTTAACAGGTGCAAGACGACAGGAACTATGGAGGACAAGCCCAAAAGTCGAAGACTTAAAGGCACTGTTCACGAACAAAATGGTTTCGGAGATTTGCACATGGTTTGAATTCGACACCCTCTCTGATACCATTTGTGCAGGAATGAGGTCGGAAAACGGTCTGGATAGGGCACAATAAGGGCAGGAACAGTGGGGGACGGGAGGCCTCCGCCCCTCGCTAGGCTGACCACGAAATCTAATTGCCGTTCATCACATTCGCATTGGGCGAAGTTGTCTGCTTGGGTGTGTTGTCTGCTATTGCAGACATTGCGTCGCCTTCCTGCACTCGCCCGAACACTCCCTTAACCCACGTTCTTCCAATGTGAAACTCGTCCAACCCCCCTTTCCAGCTATTTTTTGACCCTTTCTATTTCTTTTTGTTCATCTTTTTTTTGCGCTTTTTTCGTTGTTATCGCTTTATCCTAGAGTAGTTCTATCAATTCCCGTCAAAAAAGGGTACCCTATATTTAACGTGAACGGTGCCTTTAAGAGTGCAACGACAAAGGAGATCGTGAAAGTCACCATCCTCGTAGGTCCGAGAAAAAAATGGAAAATTCGAGGTGGTTATCTCTGCTCGATCTGTTGGAAGGATTGTCACCAGCCCCCTTCGACTTCGTTCTTATAAGACCAGAAAAGCTCACATGCTGACTGAGCGTGTGAAGAAAACTAGGCTAGAAAGAGGTAAGGAACTTTCAAAGCGATTTTCGCAGGCACGGTACAGCAACATCCTTTTCACTGACGGATGTC